CAAGAGGGGAGTCACCATAAACCAGTTCATCGACATTTAACAAAAACCAATCAGGAAACACACAATGACATTATTACAACCAAGTTTTATCTAAATGTTAATATTCCCTTTTGATCTCTGAATTCACAGAATACAGCCCTAGACAGGAACCGTTTATTTCCATTGTTAACCTCTAACAAGATACAGCCAAACAAAGATCACTACAGTTACCATCTTCTTCCATGTCTTTAACAATACATGTTTACCTCTCGAAGCTCTAATTATCTAACAAGGACACACTTTTCTAACATGTCTCTAAAGGCTGAATCTAGGTCAATTACATGCATTTTCCTTAACACTTTCTGTCTCTGTGTCAGAGAAGTTCAGATCCTGTGTGGATTCTCCCATGTTTAATGAGATGTGATCTCTGTGTGTAACTTTTCCCACAGTCCAAGCACTTGTGAGGTCTTTCTCCTGTGTGGGTTCTTTGATGTTTAACAAGGTCTGACCTCCATATGAAACCTTTACCACAGACTAAACACTTGTGGGGTCTCTCTCCTGTGTGGATTCTCTGATGTTTAAGAAGGTCTGACCTCTGTATGAAACTTTTTCCACAGTCCACGCACTTATGGGGTCTCTCTCTTGTGTGGGTTCTCTGATGTTTAACAAGGTCTGACCTCCATACAAAACTTTTTCCACAGACTAAACACTTATGGGGTCTCTCTCCTGTGTGGATTGCCTGATGTTTAAGAAGGTCTGACCTCTGTATGAAACTTTTCCCACAGTCCAAGCACTTATGGGATCTCTCTCCTGTGTGGAATGCCTGATGATTAAAAAGGTGTGACCTCTGTCTGAAACTTTTCCCACAGTCTAAGCACTTATGGGGTCTCTCTCCTGTGTGGATTGCCTGATGTTTAAGAAGGTCTGACCTCTGTATGAAACTTTTGCCACAGTCGAAGCACTTATATGGTCTCTCTCCTGTGTGGCTTAACTGATGTCTTATTAGTTCTGACTTCCAAATGAAACATTTCCCGCACTCAAGGCATTGAGAGGCTCTCTCTCCAGTGTGGCGTCTCCCATGGTTATTCAGGTCTGAGCGATTATTGAAGCTTTCCCCATGGTCCAAGCATTGAAGGGGTTTCTCTCCAGTATGGATTGTCTGATGTGTAACAAGCTGTGATCTCACAATGAATCCTTTCCCACACTGCAGGCAGTGACAGGGTGTCTCTTCCTTGGGAATTGTCTGCTGGGTTGTGGGATCCTTGTCACCTCCCCCACATTTAATAGATTCAACCAGTTTCTTCCTTGGGTGGTTTCCCACAAGCCTCTCTGACCTGTGCCAATTTCTGTAGGCTTCTCCCTGTTCCCAGCATTGGGAAAAATTCCCTTCAGCTCTTCCAACAAATGTGCCCCGTCGTTCCACTTCCCTGGGAACTTCCTGATGATGATTCCCCTCCACGTTCTCACTCCCTCGCTCAACACCTGCTAAGAGAGAGAGACAATCCAGACAGGAGTCATTGTGTTGGGGAGAAAGAGGAATAGCACCGAGGGAAAACCCGACACAAAGACTGAGCAATTGGATTCTGCCTCCACATCCCACCCAAACACTCACAGGGAAGGAGAGACGGGAAGGAAACTCCTGCAGTTAACAGGGTGGGTGGAAATCTTGACCAATATCTGCTGACGACAGCCCTGCCCTGGCTGAGATGAGGAAGAACGGAGGGCCCTTGCTCACACCACATTTTTGGGATTCTCAACTTTTTCCTTCATTCTCCAGATGGTTTCTGTGTCAGTCCTCACCTGTGTGGTCGCCTCTCGGGATCTCTCTTTCCTTGCAGGCCTGGAGATCTGGGACCCATGGCTCTTCCCCTTGTTCCAGGTGGGAGATCAGCTCAGGTTTGGGAATGGGAAATCCTGCGCAGGGGGGGAAATCAGACCAGATCAGGGTGCATGGAGGATATGAGAGTGCATCTGTCACCAAGGACATTCTGTGAGCGGAACCTGTCCCTGTGCTCTGCTGGAGAATGTGGAACCCAAGAGGATGGGAACGTGGTCGCTGAGCTCTCTTGGGAGAGGCAGACGTCTGGGGAGGGGAGGGGAATTTTTACACCCTCACTAGGAGTTGCCAGGATCTGTGCAGTCTAGGGACCTTGCTGATGCACACACAGCTCTGGCGTTAAACTCCTGCCTATTTCTAAGGCCTTGGCTACACTTGCGAGTTACAGCGCAATAAAGCCGCCCCCAGCGCTGTACCTCACTCCCCGTCCACACAGGCAAGGCACGTACAGCGCTGTATCTCCGCAGCTACAGCGCTGCTGGTACTCCGCCTCCCCGAGAGGAATAAAGAATATTGCGCTGCCGCTGCTGCGCCAGTGTGGCCGCCCAATGCGCTCCGATTGGCCTCCAGAAGTATTCGGCAGTATCCCACAATGCCTGTTCTAGCCACTCTGGTCATCAGTTTGAACTCTACTGCTCTGTCCTCAGGTGACCAACCATCAGACCCGCCCTTTATATTCCCCGGGAATTTTAAAAATCCCCTTCCTGTTTGCTCAGCCAGGCGTGGAGTGCTCTCAGTGACCATGTCTCCACACGTCAAGTGAGCCCCAGTATGGAGCAATGGCAAGTTGCTAGACCTCATCAGTGTTTGGGGGGAGGAAGCTGTCCAATCCCAGCTGCGCTCCAGCCGTAGGAATTATGATATCTTCAGGGAGATATCAAGGGCCATGATGGAAAGGGGCCATGACCAGGATGCCCTGCAGTGCAGGATTAAAGTGAAGGAGCTGCGGAGTGCCTACCGCAAAGCCCACGAGGCAAACGGCCGCTGGGGTGCTCCCCCCGTGACCTGCCAATTCTACAAAGAGCTGGACGCGATGCTTGGGGGTGACCCCACCTCCACTCCGAGCACCACCATGGACACTTCAGAGTGGGGGGAGGAGGATGAAAGCGGGAGTGAGGGTGCTGGGGCGGGGGGAGACACCCTGGAATCCCTGGAGCCATGCAGCCAGGAGCTCTTCTCAAGCCAGGAGGAAGGTAGCCACTCGCAGCGGCCGGTACTTGGTGGAGGACAAACAGAAGAGCAGGTTCCCAGTAAGCGGCTTTTTTTTTTCAGGAAGGAATTCTTCGAAAGTCTCATCCAGAATGTGGGCAATTCACTTGCACAGGTTTATCGGGAGAGCCACCGTGGTCCTTGTCTCAGTCAGGCTAACGTGTCCACGCCACTGTGGCGCGAGGGGCGGGGGGACCATTGCTGCACACAGGCAAGCTGCATATGGGCCAAGGCAGAGGCCCCATTGCAGTAGAAGACCCTCCCTTGCTTCCCAGGTCACCCTCAGCAGCGAGATAGCTTCCAGGACAAACTCCTGTGGAAAATGTTGGGACAGTGTTCAGTGTAGGTGCCCCCTGCAGCCGTTGGCTCTCCCCAAGGCACAGAAACCCAGAGGACAGTACAGCTCTGAAACAATCAGTCCCCCTTACTCACCATTTTGGGGCTCCCATGGGTTATGTGCGCTCTCTTTGGGATGGGAAAATTATGCTATTGTGTAGACTGTGTGCGCCCTCCTTAAGTGCGGGGGAATCATTGCTCTGTCTGGTATAAACAATGCTGCCTCTGTTAAATGTTGCATTTTGCCTTTACAGATGCAACCTTGAGATCTCAGCCGTCCGTGTTATCACCGGCTGAAAGACTTCAAAAACTCCAGAAGAGACCGCAAGAAAGCAAAGACGACACGCTGCAAGAAGTGATGCATCAATCTCTTAAAGAGAATCAAAAAGCACAGGAGTGGAGGGAGAGTGAAAGCAGGATCTGCAAGGAAAACGCAGCGCACCGGAAGCAAAGCATGGATCGGCTGATAAGCATCATGGAGCACCAAGCGGACTCTATCCAGGCGCTCATAGTCATGCAGGTGGAGCACTACCGCGCTCGCCCCCATCCCCCTGCAGCCCTTGTCCCTTGTGCCCCCATGTCACCTCCAACCCACTTTCCTCAACATCCGGGTTCTTATCGCCACCAGCTGCCTCCAACACCTGTATCTTCACCACCCAGCCCTGAAAACTATGACCCTTACCCTCTGCACTCAACCCCCGTCACCAGGCATTTTAGCCAGCCTGAAGTGCAGCCCTCATTGCACAGCACTCCAGACAGGACATACGCAAATCTGAGATTGTACCATTCCGCACCCTACCCCCTTGCCCTTTCTGTTTCCCAAGCAATTGTGTTTCTTTTCAATAAATGGATTTTTTGGCTTTGAAAACATTCTTTATTATTGCATAAAGTAAAAGATACCTTAGCCCAGGAAAGAAACAGGCACTGCAAGTCTGCTTGTCTGCTTAGCAGACACTGATTCCTAAAGATTGGAACTACTGCACTTCACTCCCATGCAGGGCACCAGATATCACTGCTGGTTTTCAGCCTCAAATTGCTCCCTCAAGGCATCCCTAATCCTTGCAGCCCCGCGGTGGGCCCCTGTAATAACCCTGCTCTCTGGCTGTGCAAATTCAGCCTCCAGGTGTTGAACCTCGGAGGTCCATGCCTGAGTGAAGTTTTCATCCTTCCCTTCACAAATGTTATGGAGGGTACAGCACGCGGATATAACCATGGGGATGCTGTTTTCACCCACTTCCAGCTTCCCATTGCCAGCGGCCCTTTAAACAGCCAAAGGCACACTCCACAGTCATTCAGCACCGGCTCAGCCTGTAGTTGAACCGTTCCTTGCTGCTGTCAAGGCTCCCTGTGTAGGGTTTCATGAGCCATGGCATTAACGGGTAAGCGGGATCTCCAAGGATCACAATGGGCATTTCAGCTTCCCCTACCATGATCTTCCGTTCTGGGAAAAAGGTACCCGGCCTGCAGCTTCCTGAACAGCCAAGGGTTCCGAAAGATG